CCACATTAGAAATGCAGGATTTTCCTCTTGACTAGCTTTGGAACCCTTTTTCTATCAGATAAAAGTTTTGAAATACACACATCACCTTTTTAGGGTTATTCTTCAGCTTGCGTGCGTGCTCTCCCTCCCCCCCAGGAGGTAACTTCATGTCTTCAAGGTGAGCTGACAAACAAATGCTGACCTGGCAGCACTGCTACATAAGAAGCCAGGCTCTAGGAATGTCACACACTGCCTTCCTCTGTGCCCAGAGGCGAAAGACAAAAGGAAAGCCCAACAATTGCCACTTACCACAGAGCCACACACAACACCTATACAAGGTGCAGGGGAATGCTTTGAAGCAGCTAAATTCATACATGACTTATTTGAAAGCTACCACCAAAGTCTCACATCCTTTAAGATCCCACAGTTGTAACACAGAGCAAAGCTTTCAATATGCCATCAGGATCACTGAGACTACTGTACCAGCAAGCTCAGCAGCCTGCTTGCCAGGCATGTACAGCGTGCAGGGATGCATAATGATTGGGAGCGAGGTTTGCTTGAGAACCACATAACTCCTGTCTCAAAAGACAGCAAAGAGCTTGTAAGTGTATTCTACAGCCAAACCCAACCCAGCTGAGGAAGTCAAGCACACACAAGTGTTGGGTTTTTTTCCTAAATTCTCTGTGCTGGCATTGCCACAGCCTTTTGTGTTGAAGGATTTCGCATTCATGTTCAGTATGGGTCCCAAGCAGACATCAAAGGAAAACATTAAACTTCTTAGGCAAGCCTTAGGCCAACTTCAGAGGATACATCACTGCATAATATTCAGCATTTGGATCAAGTAATGCATGGAAAAAGAAACTGCAAGACGCCCACAAGACATTCCCTACATACTTCCATAATCAGGGACATTTCTGCCGGATTACTGTTCACATGGCAAACAAAAAAAAAGAAGTCAGCAACCAAGACACCAATGTGGCTTTATTCGGCCCTTCTGCTCATTCCCATCCTTCTCTACCAGACACCAGATCCATATGAGCTCCTACAGAAAAAAACTGACAGTTTGAAAGGCACAGAGCAGATAGAAACCAGCACTGCATCTGCTGGTCTGAAAAAAAAAAAAAGAGAGGAAATGCTCTTTACACTGTTGAATGTCTATTGTGTTAGCTGCTCCCCAAGTCACACTAAGAAGTCTTCTTAAGAAGACTTCTCAAGAGAAGCCCCTCCATCCCCTTCCCACAGGGGCTATGCCATCGCTGACTACAGAACACTTCTTTCTTAAAGGTTCCAAAATCCATGGGATGTTGTGCCTGAGAAAGAGAAATGTAACAAGTACTTTGACTTGGTTTTTTTTTTGGCAACTGGAAATAAGAAGCACTGAAATATACTTTTTAACTACAGTTGCCTGGCACGATATTCAGTTTTTACAGTAAAGCCAAAGGGGATTAGGACATACTGTACTAATTCACAAGAGCAGACAGTACCTGCTCCAGAGCTTTATCTTCTAAGCAGACTGGAGAAAACAGCAGCATTTCAATGATATGGTAGGGAAAAGAGGAACAAAGACATTCAGTGACTTACACAGCATCACACAGGAACTTGTTGCAGGCCTAGATTATGTTCCCAGAGTCTCAGCCCACTCAGGCATTGGAAAAAGCAATGAAATAAGAGTATGCACTATGCTTGGCACTCATTCCTAAATCATCCATTGCTATGAGGGAAAAAGAACCTCCACTCACGTTAATGCAAGGCACTGAAGGAATATCTAAATGAGAACTAGTTATTCACTCCACCCATCTATCTGATCACCTTCTATTTCCGAAGTCTGTAAAACCTTTCTTGGCCAGACGACCCAGCCCACAATTGGGATCTCATTACAAATCAGACATACTAAACCACTTTCTCCCTTTGGCTGCAGAAGATGAAAGGCCAAGTGCACGGGCAACATTTTAGTAACAGGCTTCACGTAACAGCTTCAGATTTTCTTAAAAGCTTCAGCATCGATTATTTTCTTTAAATAGCAATGGGTTATTGAGAAACCTTCCATCCATTTTAATGCACAAGGTTTTCCTGAAGAAGGAAAGAAAGCAAAAATCAGTCCTGCAAAGGCATTGTTGTTTTGAAGAGTTTCTGATGTCCAGCCCTAGCAAAACACTGAAGCCAAAGTTTAGCACTGGTGCTGAAGGACTAAGAGGAGAAACACAGGGATGAAAGGGAAATAAAGTATGGATTGACCCAGAACAATAGGGGGATTCAGCTCCAGCTAGAGCTTCAGCCAGCAGCATGAGCCCAAAAGGAGCTGAAGGCTCACAGCACGCGTAGCAGCACAGCTCTCATGTGGTCTCTGTACAACTTGGAGCAAAATGAATATAGGAATTAATTTATGTGAACAAAAACACCGACACCCTGCTGTTACATAAAAGCCTGCTTTCTGGGGAGGGCTTCCAAAGATGGGCCATTTGGGCTGTTCTGAATCAAACGACACTCAGGTTCAAGATGGGTGCACTGCAGCCTGAGAAAGACTGGTTTGAAATAATCTCCTGATCCTTTTTCAGTCCTCACAGCACTTGTTCCTTCCTTCAGTTTGTTAGATTTTCATATGGAAAATGAGTGTGGAAATTCCACCTCCTGGTTCTCAGATGCTAATATAAGTCTGTGATGAAAGCACTGCAGAAGGCCTCGGGGAGATGTTTAAATCCTAACTCAAACAGATAAAAAGATGACTATTTAAGTTTGCCTGGGAAAGTCTCTGCACATATTGGAAACCCCTTGAGGCAGGGACTGCCCTTCTGTTCTCAGTTTAATGGTCTGTTGTACAAATTACGATTGCACAATTATTTTTATAAAGTTTCCAATTACACTAAGAATGTATCTTACTGAGGTTTATAACTGTGAGAAATAAAACCTAAAACCCCAAAGCCTTTGGACTGAAGCTGCACGACCCACTAATATTCCATCAGCAGTGCTCTCTCCCAACTCTACTACAAGGTTACACCCCAATCCACAATGAGCAGACACAAGCATCCCAGCACAATGTAGCTAACACTGCCATAATTCAACACACAGCTTTATTTCGTGTTTTCCAATCTTTTCTTCAGCATTCACATTTTAGCAATCAGCATTCCTGGGCAGATCCTGCACGCCTTGATGGCTGGAAGCTCAAATTCCAAGCAGGGTGCAGTGGTATTGCCCTGTTGGAAGCTACTTACCTGTAAAGCTGGCTGCACTGCACACAGGAACATAGGGGCACAGACGTAGAACAAGGAGGAGAAAGAAGTGTCAACGATAAAACCAACGGGCATGCATTGCTATGTGTTCTCCCTCACTCAGCACCAGGCATGTTGGAAAGAACAAAGCACAAATTCTACTGCTTCATTTTACAAATATCAGAACCGAGCACAGGAGCAAGGGCCTGAAGGCACCCAGCTGGTCTGAGAGGCAGGATGCGCTTCATGCCCACACCTGGGCACACACTGCTAACTCTGCTGTTGACATTAACATTTCAAAATCTTTTTCTGTTGTGGAAATGTACAACCTCCTGCTCTTTAAAACCTGGAGGCTTTATAGCCCTCCTCTGCTGAGAGCCGCTGCCCCTGTACCAGAACAAGAGCAGCCCCCAGGAGGCCCAGAATGACTCAGATGCGATAGCCTTAGAGGAGGTTTGTCTACAGAAGCTGAAAACAAACAAACAAAACAACTGTAACAGTCTGCAATCAGCGTAATTCATAGCAGAATGTTGAAATTCAACTGCTAGGCACACAGATAAAACTTCACAGAGGTGCAGACCAACCCAAAAAGGCAACAACCAAGAGAAAAAGGGAAGAGGCAGCCTCCAATGGAAGACGATACATCTGAGCAGCTAACATAAAGAATCCGAGAGGATCTTTCCAGCTGTGCAACCAATGCCCTTGATGCAAGGTGACACATTCTTATCTTTGCTGTGCAAACAGGAAGGGGGAAGCATGACACCCTTTCCACTAGGCAGAGCAATAGTGATTGTGATCTGTGCCTTGTGATCCTGCCCTCTCTTAAGGCTGCTCCAGAAGTTATACTCGTTTAAGCTGCACACATACACACAGCTCGAGTGCAATTTCCTCTCATCTCAGCTAATAAATCTTACAGCGCGTCTGCTTTTTTCTGAACACATATTTTATGAGCTGAATAAACTTTATGGAAGAGTTGATTGCCAAGGCAGCCAAAAGCTGGAAATCTGATGCTTGACCACAGCCAGGCACAGCAGGCTCCAAGAAAGTTTAGCAGCAGCTTTTGCACCTCAGCTTCTCTAACTGGCCTGCTTCCCCTGCAAAGACCCCTAACTTATTGGCTCTGAATGCTTTTCATTCAGCTTATCCTCAAGACTCTTTCCTTTGTGACTGAGAGATCATAAGAGAGAAAGCATCCTTCCAGCCTTACCAGCACAGAGCACAGCCCAGCGTCCATCCCTTGCATTTTCTCTACAGATTTTTTAGTTCAGAGGCTGTCAAAATGATGTGGATTTGAACAACAACTCAACAGTCTTCGTAAAGACATCTAACATTTCAGTAGAAGCATCAGCAAATCTTCTCTCAAGTAAGGGCTTTAGGGAAGTTGCTTGGAACAGATCAATATTTAACAGAGAAAACACTTCCAGGCACTTCTACAGCTCTTGATCATGCAACAACCCTTTGGCAATGCTGACAAGCATGTACACAAACAAGTACTGGGAAGGCAACTTGCAGTCCTAGCCATCAGTTAATGCAGTTTTACAGCCGGAAATGAGAGGGAGAAGGCAACATCACGGGAAGAAACAGACCCCCCAGGAAGCACTCTAAGGGCCCCCATTTTGGAAACCCATCCCCTGCAGCTATTTTCCAAGCGACTTAAAAGAAAAACAGCAGCTTACATACAGATCCTATAGTCTCAGAGCCCATTTTCTGAGCAGAAACTGCAGTGCTATTGAAGGCCAGGCCTTCACCTGTACACAGACTGATCTGCAGCACGAGCAAACGCACCGCACCCGCAGGGTGAGGTCACGTACGTACCTTGGAAATGAGTTCATCGTGGTTAGCAAGATGAGCCCTGCAGTGAATGCAGCTGTAGGTCCTGTGGCACGAAGGCAGATATGCCTGGAAAGTCTTGGACCTTGTCATCTTCACCATTGGAGCCACCGAGCGCTGCGTGAACTCCGGGGTAGCCCAGGAGGCACTGCCGCAGGATGGGTCACACGGGAAACACCGGAAGACACAGGTAAAGGCCGTGGTTTGGCAGGGGATGGGTGTGGGGCAGGCTCCACACGCTGGTGACAGCTTCAGAGGAAGAGATTCAGGTCTTGGGAACGGAAGGCCTCACAAAGACCTACGTTTAAAACAGAGCAGAGATGGAACACTCAGCACAGGTGTCTAAACGAGCTACAGTGGTCTCCTGGCCAAGAGTCTGATGGCAAGCACAGAGGAGTGAGCAGCCAGGGAGAGGTGAGCTGTCTGCAGGTCAGACTGACATGCATTCATGCCTGCTGGCTGCCTGCCCTCACATTTTCCCGCTGCTGCTATCTACCATCTTCCTATCACTCAAGCTCTCACCATCTCTGTTCATTCTTCCAACACTTAATGGATTTGGAAAGAACTACAGGCATACAAAGATGCTAAAAAGCTCACTTTCATCAAGTCTCATCTCCCAGACACCTCAGGGAACAGCACACACCCAGGCCCAGCGCTGCAGAAGCCCAGGGAGCAGCCAGACTCCAGCAGCTCCTGAGAAAGCCGGGCCTGGCGCAGTGCAATGCAGCACTCCGGGCTGCAGGAAGGCTGGGAGCTGAGCTTCCTCTGCCACCAGCAAGTGCACGACTCACCAGACCAGTTCTGCCCTCCCATCTGCTCCAACTTCCACATGGGAAATAGAGGATTACTTCACCATGCTCATCTTTGTAGCTTGCTGTGAGCTCTGAAGGCAGGAGCTACTCCACCAACTGCACTCTAGTGTTTTTTTTTTTTTACCCTCAGAATATCTGACAGCAGCCAAAGTGAGGATCAGCCTCCAAGCCTACCCCTGATAACAGGGGACACAGCTACAAATCCTATTCAGGATGCAAACACCCATTTACTTCCAACATTACCCGATACAACCTGCTAGGCAGCTCAAGCCTGGGCTGTTTTGCTGGCAGAAATCACTTTTTCAGATCCTGCCTGCACAAACCTTACCAGGTAACAAATGCTTCTCTAAGGATGAAAGCAGCTGCAGAAGTGAAGCAGCTCCCCTCCCCGCCTGGTACGTGGTGCGCATGCATGCTCCAGAAATTAACCATGGGCTCTGGCTGCTCCTGCCGTGAGGATTTTCCCTTCCATACAATAAGTGATTGTGCTCACTTCCTGAGTCTGCACTTGGTGTATCAAATACTGCAACAATCCCCTCTTCTAAAATAAAACAAGAAAAAAACATCACCCAAACCTGACCTGCAATGGCAATTTCTGAAGGGAACAAAACAGAAAAGTAGAAAAGCTTAAAGCTGGTCTCTAAGCCAGTATGTCTAACTGCCCTGAAGTGTATCTGATTATCTTCCAGGTTACAGTAAAGCCAGCTGAGGTCCCTACAGGGCCAGAAGAGCTCCCTGGAGCTGCATGCTGAGCTGGCTGTGCTGCAGCTCACCAGGATGGGCAGCCACAGGCACAGCCCCAGCAAAGCACCAAGCTCAGGGTTCACAGCACAGTGCTGCTAGATGATTCTAAGCAAATGCATCTCTCTATTTACTGAAGGGGAAACTGTTCCATCAGAGTGTGACGGAAACCAAAATGTTTATTAAGGCACTACAGGCAGGACCCAAGAGAATTGCTGCAGGAGGTGGTCCTGCAGAACTCCTGCCCACAGCCCACTTACTGAACAGCACATCAGACTGAAAGAGCAGTAAGAAACAGGCTGGGAATCCATTACTGCTGCCTGCTGAAAAGTTTCATGTGTGAGCACTGTCAAAAAAAAAAACAAAAAACCCACCCCAAAACTCATCACCTTGGTACCAAAGCATCATTTACGGAAAGCTCTGTCTCAACACTTCTGCTCCTAAATCTTCCTGTCACTGCTGAAAAGGAAGACTCAAGGCACCAAAGATGCATTAGTGCTCCTAAAGGCATTCCCCTCCAGACCTACTGCTGCAGGCTGGGCAGCCCTGCAGAGCCTGCCTTGTGTGCACAGCTTGCAAGCACAGTACTGCAAGCGTTACAGTGGGGAGCTGCCACAGATACACATGGGCACCATTTAGCACAGCCCAATGCTCACCACAATATGGTCAATAGGAGGTAGGCACTGGTAAGCCAACCTGATACTTGTTTGTTGGTTTAGGTTCCCTCCTCACCCCCCAAAAAATATATTTTTTTTTCCCTGCTTTTCAGAAGGCAGTTCCTCCTCTACTCAAATGGGAAAAAGATTCTTATTCATCCTGCAAACTGCTGATAAAGCCCATCTATCACCATCATAATAGTCAGCACTTACATGGCACTTTTCATCCTTAAAGCTCTTTGCAAACACTAACTAATCAGATTAACCTTTTGCAATTAAAGTTACAGCCAGAGCTCTGGAAGGCCCATCCTGACACAGAAGGGCTCACTCCCCAGCTTGTCAGAAACAAAACCTGCTCCTGTTGAGGCAGAAAGGCTCTGGCAGGGGTGGAATTGACCAACCTGTGCCCTGTTCGGTGCACAGCTTGCATCTCTGGACCTCAGCAGATCAGAATGGGGACCAAAAGCAACCAGATTCCAAGGCAAAGTGGTGTCAGAAAGCAACACCTTACAGCAGACAGACCAGGTGAGGAACAAGCAAGATTTCACCTGACTTCTGATTAAGCAAACAGACTGTTAAAACCCACGTCTACACTGACCTCATCAAATGGCGTGATTTTCTCTCTCTTTCCTCCCTTTTCTACAAGATGAGCAGCTAAACACACCAGCCAGCAGCTCTACTACTTTCCTCCCAGGCTGCTGTGCCAAACATTTCTTTTCCCATCAGCTGCCCACCACTACAACTCAGCACTGCAGCACTACAGTCTGAAAAGCACTCCAAAGGCACCTTACAAGCCAAATGGAGACACAAACAATGCCCAGCCAGAATAACATAAGAGGAATGCCTTGTTTGTTGTTTGCTGACCTAAGCATCAGTGCTCTGGAACAATGAGTAGAACAGGAATGGCATCACAGAGAAACCGGAGTACACACACACACACACACACACACACACACACACACACACTACCTGCTGCACCTTTATGTGCAGAAAAAATATTTCATGAGAACTCATTCATTTGATCTCATAACACATTTAATGTCAGCAAAAACACGCGGCCTTTCAGAAGGAGACAAACTGAAGTGAGAAGTTATCAGAGCACAGATTGAGATGTACCGTGATTCTTGTTTTCAGTACTGTGCTGAGAAGGCAAAACAAATGGATCACTTCACCAAAGGCAGGAGATGTGGGAGGTAAGGCTCTGATGGGAAACCTGGCTGAGATGCTGAGTAAGGCTTTAAAAACAAAACAAAAACTAAACTTGTGATGAACTCCATAAATCACATAAGCATTGCCTAAAAAAAAAAAAAAAAAAAAGCTTTGATTAAATTTAATTATTGTGCCCAATACCATTAGAGAGATGAGAATCTGCATTCCACATAATCCAGTATTTCTTTTTTGTAATTCAAGAGAAATTCCATTTTGGAATGCATGCAATCGAGTCAGTGGAACAGAAATTTGTACGCAGTAATTCACCTGCAAGCAGTCAGAAAACTGGCTGAGACAAAAGGAATGAATTCTAGGGAAAAGCTTATCTGCATCATCTACTGTGGCAAACAGAACCATTGGAGAGCAGTGTGCATGTCACAGCTGCCCTGCCTAGTCCTGCACAGTCAGATATCACCCCAAGAAGAAAAATCCCATGACGTTTTGCTATTCGGATAGCTTTCAGCTCAGCACTCAGCCTTCATCTGCCTAACAGCCACTTTTCACATTAAGCTGTTCAGTAATTCAGGAAACACAAAAAAGGAGAAAGGCGAAGCCTGTGCCAAATGCTGGCTACGTGAGGTTACTGTTGGTACAAGCCCATATGCCACAGCAGCAGAGAACAAAGGCTATTATACAGCCTCGTTTTGCATGAAACCCATGTGCAATGCAGCCCAGAGGCAAGTGTTCCTGCTCACTCTGAAAGGACAAACAGCAGGTCTGTTGGGTTTGAGGGTTTGTATTACAGATTATTTGCTTTTTAAGACTTTAGCTGGTAAAATGCTTAGCAGAACACAGCAAATGTCACAGAAAGCTGCCTGGAGCAGTTCTGAAAAAGCCCATCTGTCTGGAAACCCAACCTTCCTTCTTCGGTGTCTCTTCTCATTAACATAGGAAGAACTAGAGATGTACTTATGCTGAGTGTAATTAGAGCATAGGGGGAATCAGACTGGGGAGTTCTTTGTTTCCACAAGGTCACCAACCTTAGCAGCCAACACTGCTCCAGGCTCTTAGCATGGTTTTAATAAAAGGCTTGTGGCAAGCACATGTACTTATCAGTGCTTTCTTCACATGGAAGCTACCTGAACAATGCTTAAAGCACTGCAGCTTGGGAGAGACTGGTCTCTAACACAACACAGTAAGAGGGCAGGCTGGGTTCTCCCATTCCCTGCAGGATTAATATCAGAAGTGCAGAGAGAGCTGGCAGAGCTGGCAGTCTTTGCACTTAGATGATGCAGTTCTGTAGTGAGGATCCTGGGGCAGTCTGGGAGACTCACACCACAGCATAGGTCAGCAACAGCTTTGGAAAGTTGAAGCCAGATCTGAAGATAGCAAAGGATGATATATGTAGCCAAAAGCCCTGAAAGAAAGGGTGATCATCTTGAAATTAAACATGGAACACGATGGAAAAAACAATAAAAGATGCTTAAGTAAAATATGGAGGTAAGTAACACTCCCCTACTTCTTCATTATCTGAAACGCACCAATTTCAAACGCTTGGTAAGAAGTGCCAGCAGTACTGTCATGGTCAACAGAAGTCATTACTGATACATGAACTGTGTCTTCTCTTAATACCTGTGTTCCTCCAGCTCATTCTCCAACCTCTGCAAGCCCACAGAGAAAGGAAAATAACAGTGAAACAACAGACTACGTTTACCTTTACTCTGTTCAGGTTGGCGCACATAATTGCACGACAGAAACAGAATGGAGAAGGTCTCTCTCTTAGATGACCCTCAAAATGAAATATGCCTCATTCCCGTTATTCCTCTGGACACATCCCCATGAGCCACCCATCTCTGAGGGCCCTGGCCATCATCCACAGCCTGGAGACAGTCCTCACCTCAGGAAGCACTCCGT